TGCTTACCAGTGACAGGAGGTGTTGTCTGCCACCAATCTGCAAGGAAAGCACAGCAGGATTAGAGGGGAAGGGGTATGGAAGCCAGGTGCAATTGTGATCAGGGACAGTGGAGTCAGAGAAGCTCTGGGGCTGGGGCAGGAAGAGGACCCTCGTAGACAGCTGCAGTCAGGGAGCCCACGCCCTTCAATGTCCACACCTTACAGGCAACAAGGTGGCACATTCCCCCAAGGGTCATTACACTTCCTTTCTGACACATGGTTTGCTGATAAAAGCATCACTGAGTCTTTCCCTTAGGGTCTATGCCAAGAAGATGTGCCCTCCCCTCTCATGCGACACTCAGGACAGACGGTGATTTCTGATGGATGAATACAAGACAAAATCTCCTTCTCCCCAGAAAACTGCTGAGTGAGTGCTGGGTAGCAGCAGCCCATGTCAGGAGCCAGAATGCTCTCCTCCTACCAAGTCACCGAGGAAACTCTACACACCATGAACAAGCCATAGTCCCCATGTGCACCTGCTGCTCTGGGGCTGTGGAGAGGAACAGGGAAGAGGAGACACCCAGCAGCTGGGAAACAGCAGGACTCACCTGGCATGGGCGTGGACTGGGCCTGGGAAGCTGTGAGAAAGAGGAGGGACCATGAGACATGCCACAGAGAAGGCGGCAGAACTGAACACAGGGGAGGGTCCTGAGCAGAGTGACTCCCCTGTAGCCCCTTCCCTCCCAGGAAGGGGGCCCTTATCAATCAACCCCACACAAAGATGCTCCTTGGGAGTGCTGCATGAGGTCCTGGCCACAATTTTAAGTCAACAATTAAGTCTAGGTCTCAATGTAGTGACCAGCTTGGCCCCAAACCATCCTTTCCCTGTAGGTTTTAGCAGATTCCTGAGTCAGCAAGTATGACAAGGCCAGCTCAGGGCCATATCCTCCCAGAGCTGCTCAAGCCTCAGGCCACAAGGGGGGACTGCCCTTCCCACAGCAGATGACATCCAGAGGCAACATGTCACAGCGCTCCGGAGGGAGCCACAGTGCCAGCCTCAGGCCCTCCCAAGCCCAGGTAACTGCATGCACCTACCTACAGCCCAGGAGACGCCTTTCCCAGGCCTCCCTACTGGGGCCTCAACTAACATCCCCACATTGGGCAGGAGGCGTTACCTCGGGGCTCCTGCCACGGTGATGACCCCTACCCAACTCCCCTGGGGTCTGGCCACCGCCACCTCACCCTCACCAGCACCACTTAGAGGCAACCCCAGCTACCATCACTGCCCCTCTCACTCCCGTTTTAACGGCCTCAGTGAGGGGATAAAGACTCTGTGGTTATTTCAGGTTAGCTCACAGCCTGGACTGAAAAGATGAAAATTCATAAGGGGTTCTCTCCCTGAGGAAGCGCCACTCACAGGGAGAAAGGCCCAAATTCTTGGAGGTTCAGGTAGCCAATGACACCAGCAGCCTCCCTGTGTCCATGCTACGTTGGTGCCTGGGCCCACAGTGTAGCTCTCAGACCTGCAGGGATCTGCACCCCGTATCTCTAGGTACTGCCACACCCCTGCATCTGAAGCTGCCCCCTCAGAGACACCGAGGCCACGGCTATGCGAGGGACAGGCACGAGAGCCTCTGCCTCAACACCAGGGAGCAGCACACAGCAGCCCTGAGCATGGAGGGGACAAGACCCCAAACATCCACCCCCTGGCCTTGACCCTGAGGTTGGGTGCACATTCCACAAGATTCCTTGGAGGTCACACTCCGTGCCCTCTGCCCACCTGCCACAGGAGCCCACCCTTCCCTACCAACCTGTCTTCCCACCACCCTCACCCCCTTCCCATCAGTCTTCACGGCTGTCCTGAGCGGGCTGTTTGCACTAGTCCCTTGCCTTCCTCAGGAGGTCTGAGCACTAGAGCAAGGGAACTTCATGGGCAGGGCTGCTTCACCAGCCAGACCCAGCGGTGCTGCCCCTGAGAAAGGAGCCCCAGGTCAAGCTCAGGGGTTGGGGGTGGGAGCACCTGTGGATATGGGAAAGCTTGATACTCTGTGCCTCGGAGGCTGGACTCTGTAGTGAAGGCCAGTGGCCAGTGGCCTCCAACCCAAAGCGAGGCAGTGCTTACAGCTTAGGACCTCAGGGATAGTTACCCACAGTAAACTCCAAAGATACCAGAAAACCTTATGAGACTTGAGTGCTGGCCTTAGAGTAGCAAAAGTATTTTCCCTGAGAAACTCGGTGCCCTGAAAGGGCCCCAATGATCTTCAATGCCCACCTGCGCAGATGACACCAGCATCCTCACTGTGTCCACAGTTATGCGACAGCCAGCCGTTGTGGCGGCAGCTCCACAGGTTAGACTCGTGCCCTGAGCAGGCCACATTGTCCAGCACAATGGGCCCTGAGCCCTGGCCGAAGCGGGCATTTCCTGGGGCTGAACTAGCCCAACCACAGCCCAGCTGCCTGCAGACCACGTTGGCATCATTGGTGTCCCAGCCGTCGTCACACACGGTGCCCCAGGAGCCTCGGTACAGGACCTCCACACGGCCTTGACAGTGGTCACCTCCGTTCACCAGCCTCAGAGCCAACCCAGAGTCAGAGCCTGGAGAAAAACAGGAAAACTCAGTCTCTGCTGTGTCTCCTAATGGGAGAGGGCCCACGGGCAGAATGAGGGTCACATTTCTGTGCTTCCCACCATGGAGCAGCCCTAGGACCTGGGCATTTGGCTGCCCCTGTAGTTGACTGCACCTGTGTCCACAGGGACACCCCATGCCACCTAAGGCTTGTTCTTCTGTCCCTTTGTGGCAGGCCAAGACTTGTGGAGCTTGGGTTGATGCCCTCAGCAGCATGGGTGGTGAGGAAAGCCTGCTCTTCACCCTGTCATCCACAAGGCATGTGTTCTAGCCCCCAGGTGTGCACTGAGCACTCCTGTCCTCTCAGTGAGCGAGCCCAATGCCCGGCAACTCCATGGCTGGCAAGGCCTCAGACACAGGGGAGAGGCACAGGGCCAGCAGCCTGGGACCACACTGACTCCTGGGTCAAGTGGAGCCCCAGGCAGGATACTGCCAAAGACGAGTTCCCAGCTTTCCACCCTGGAACAGCCCTAGGACCTGGGCCATTGCTTGCACCTGTGGCTGACTCCCCCTGTGCCCACAGGGATGCCCAGACACCTGAGACTTGGTCCTATGTCACCTTCTAAATCAAATCTTGCCCTGGATCCGAAACAAAATATGAGCCTACTGGAAACCATCAGCTGCAAGGAAAG